TGGCATGTGGTGCTGGGGGATTGAACCGCGGTCCCTGATGCTTTTGCTAAGCTTGTTCTAAGTAGGTGCTTTAGACCACTGAGCCATCTCTCCAGCCCAAGAACATTGTCTTTGAAGGCCAACAGCCCTAGACTTTAATTCTGCATTTTTCACTTTTTGCCTTTATCACTCTTAAGCAAGTTTCTCTTTTGGCAATTTTTTTATTACCTATATTTTATTTTGACCTTTATTTATATTTGGATTTCTCTTTTTAAATTTTATTTTATTGAGAGACAAATATCAATGACAGTTTCAAAGCTGATTAATAGGACACTTTCAGTAATTAATACCTTGGACATTGTTATCTTCTTAGTGGTTACAGTACAAGAAGCAGACAGGAAATCCTGTCCAAATACTATTAGTACAAATCTTTCTTCTCATTGAATTAAGTGAAAGTAGCTGTGTATCTATCCTTAACTATTCTGTATATACAGATACAAAATGGTCCTTCCTTTGTATCCCCTCTTTTTGTTTAAAGTCCTGTCAGAGATGGGTATTCTATTGGCATCTAAATACTATTAGGTGCTTGAATTCAGCCAAACAATCCAACACAGTCTAGCAGTCCACAGTAGTAGTGGGTTATCTGCAGAAGTTGTTGACTTGAGCCTTTTATAGCTCAGCATATTAATATGGCTTTACTTTATATACCTCATTTTTATACTTTTCTGCTGGATGGTTAAGATCAAGCTAAAGCAAGATCTATATAACAAGAAATGTAACTTTTGTATCTGATAAGGTTAGTCAAGTACCCTCAGGATTTATCCTGTAGCCCTGTACCACACTTTGTAGATCCTTTGTAGATCCTTTGTCGGTGTCAGCCATGTGGATGAGTCACGGCCATTGCTAGACCAATTTGCTCTCTGTGAAAGCCTGAAAGAATGTTTTCTCTCCATGTGACTCTCCTCTTAAGCAAGTTTCTATGTCTCTGGGTCTCTTGTTGCTTTACCCCATGTGATGGGAATCAGAGATAAGGTGACAGAACATTTTTATTATGCAATAACTACATGATCTGAAACTTCCCCTTTCTTCCCTGAAGCCCTACTTGAAGGCTCTTTACGTTGTTGAAAGGTCTGCACAGAAAGAACACACATTACTTCTAAAATACCTTTAGAGAATACCAAACTTAAACCCTTGACTAATAAAATCATTTTCTAAGATGTTACCTTTTTGTTAGAAGTAGAGTGAAAAGGTGGGTACTGTGTGTGAATAAAAGGAAACTAAAAGTGAAAAATAAACCAAATCAGTTACAGTTCAATGTTCTATTACATTAAATCTAAAACTTGATTTGAATGCAAGAAACAGGATATCAAGGTATAATTTGAATTAAATGGGTCAGGTGTCTTGGTGATATTTCTCACAGGAGGACAAAAGAACAGCTACAGAATCATGTATAATTACCCATACATATAATCAGACGGTAACTAACTTTTTATTCGAAGAACAAATCTCTAAACAACTCATAAGCTTGGCGACCTAACAAGACCATTTTCTACTTTTAAGACAAGGTAGACAAAACATACTCGAGAGGCCTTAACACCCCCCAAATTACTGTATACAGTTTTCATTTCTACCCAATACAGCTCTTCAAATGTTTTCCTCAATGGAATGGTCTGATTTAATGAGTTTTCTGCTCAACAAAGGAAACCACTGCTGTTACCACTTATTGAAAATCTTTCTGAAAGAAAATGTATTCATTCACTTTTTACCCTAAGAATGTTTTCATTAACATAAAAATAAATATTTGAGATGACAACATCTCACTGCAATGAAGTATGATACTAATAACAGGTTGAAGTTGTAGGATATTGACTTTTTATGCTGTTCCCAGGTTACAGTTTAGCTACCTATAGATTACTCACAAAATAAAACCTGGTATATGTTTTCTCAGTTTGTTCTCGTTTGTTCTACACAGACTACAAAAGCATTTCCAAATACCTGAGGACTTGGAAAGTTCGGCTCTGGCTAATCATGGTACAGATATACCTCACACTTCAACCTCAAAGGATCCTTTACTTGTAAAAGAAATACAGATTACTTCAAGCTTTTGCTAAATTGTTGTTAGGTCTGGGCTCTTTTGACCATTTTCCCCATGGACTATTACTAGCAATAGCTAGACTAAGTTTCTAAGTGTGAAGATAAAGCACTAAAGTCAAATTTTCTAAAAAAAATTAAAGTGGAATGTTCATCACAAAGAAAACAGCCACCTGAAATAATTCTGCTATTAACATTAGTTTAAATAAAATCTTTCTAGACTTACAGTTTTTTTTTTTTTTTTTTTTTTTTTTTTTTTT